CCCCCAGGCCTGACTTAGTCAATCTTTCTCAAGCCAAACCACCTCACAGGATGTTGTGAAGACCAACGATCTTTGAAGAAGTCTTTAGAGGATGGAGAGAATGTAATAGGCATTCACAACAATAAACAGCGGAGATGCTCCTTCCTTACTTTTCAGGATAAAACGGGAGTCCCTCATTTGTGCAGGCAGCCTTGCGATGCTCTCTCTCTCTCTCTCTCTCTCTCTCGCTTGCAGATTTTCTTTGGTTTTGGGGGAACCAGTCCTGGGGTTCTTAAGCCTGGGATTCCCATAAACGAAAGAGCCTCCCCACCCTCTCGGCTTCCCTGCCAGGGCGCCGGAGGTACAACAGCCTGCCTACATTCCTGCATGTAACTCAGCACCTCCTGGCACTATCTCGTCCTCGCAGGGCCTTCAAACAAAGCGCCTTGGTGTTCAGGTAGAAGTCCAGCCCTCCTCCTTCTTGCAAGCAAACAAAGGCAACTCAGAGCGAAAGAAGGGAAAGGCTTCCCATCAGGTGCCCCCCAACTCTCTCTCTCTCCTTTTCTGGGGAGGGGCCCTTCTCAAAGACAACTCCTCAGCCGTATTGCCTAGCGTGGGGGCCCACAACCGGCTTACTGGCTGTTCTTCCTCTCCGTCTTGGCCCTGCTTGTTCACCGCAAACAGCGTCCTGGACTTGCCGTTTCAAATGGTTCACCCCTGATTTGCATTTTTGTTTCTGGTGGTTTGTTGAGGGGGTGTCTCATTTTTGGGGGGCCCTCTTTGCCACACTGGAAATAGCACACCTTCCCCAACAGTGGATCTGACTGCCTCGGGAGACTCCTTGAATGAATGAATGAACCATTTCTGGGCTCGTCCTAAGGAGCTCAGGGGAAGGCGCTGTCAAATCTCGAGCCTAAACGGTAGAACAGGATCAAGCCACTCAACGCGATCAGCATTAAAAGAAAACCAGCGGGCCATACAGGACGAGGTTTTCAGGCAGAGGTTAGGTGGCTACCTATCAGGGATGTCGTACCTGAGGATTTCCTGCAACAGCAAGGGGTTGGGCTTGATGACCTTTGAAGGTCCCTCCTAACTCTGCGGTCTTAAGATAGATTCCCAGGGAGCTGTGGGGGGGGGGTAATGGGGACTGCCTGGCTCATCTCACCCACTACCTGCCACTGGAGAGCATCCTGGGTTATAGAAAGAAGGGTAACTGAGTGTGCTGGTTGTAAAGAATTCTGCTTGCTTATACCTCCCCCCTCCCCACCCGTAGTACTTTCTGGGCAGTTTTATTATTTATTTTCTTAATTCAGCTTTTAGACCGTCCATCTGGCTGCAAGGCCACACAACCTTGCAGCCTAAAAGAAAGCCCACAACCTTGAGTTTGCAGCCAAGGAGCCGAGCGGCTGAGGACATGACGTTTTTGAAGCCACTCGTTCATACAGTCAGCATGAGTCAGCGACAACCTGGTGGTGTGTAGCAGCAGCGACAGTAAAAACAGACGCAGCTCTGTGGTTTAGTTATCTGGCTGTGGAGCCAGAGGTTAGGAGTTCGATTCCCGCATTATGTGCCTCCTTGGTAGGGGCTGGAGTCAATGATCCAGAGGATTTATTTCCAGCCGTACAGTTCTAGGATGATTATGGTGATGATTATTACATGTCTGCAAGTTCCCCTCGCCACCTCTGCATTTATTAAAATGATAATGTTAAAAACAACAATTCAGACCCTGCTTCTTCTGCTGAGTGGGGTTGCCCCATTTCTGCCCCAGAGCCCTCCTCCGATCGGTCCTGGGCCCTTTTGCGCCAGCCAGAGGTTAGGAGTTTGATACCCCACTATGTGCCTCCTTGGCGGGGGCTGATGATCCATAGGATCTTTTCCAGCCGTACAGTTCTAGGATGATGATGGTGATGATTATTACATGTCTGCAAGCTCCCCTCGCCACCTCTGCATTTATTTAAATGCTAATGTTAAAAACTACGACAGCAATTCAGACCCTGCTTCTTTTGCTGAGTGGGATTGCCCTGTTTCTGCCCCACAGCCCTCCTCCGATCGGGCCCGGGCCGCTTGCGCCATCCTCCCCCCCCACAGCTGTGTCACTCCACCAGCTCCCCCCCTTTCCCGTGCCAGGTTGTGTCTCCAGCATCTCAACTGGCACCACTTTCCATCCTCCCTCCTACAACCCCCCAAAAAGAAAAGAAATCAGGGCCCTCTTCCCTTCTTTGAGCTTTTGCCCTCCCGACTTACCTGCTTGGTCCACCTTGCTCCGGAGATGATCAGAGAGGACAGAGAGACCTTGAAGCAGGCTTGGGAGCATGGCAAAGGTGTGTGTGTGTGTGTGGGGGGTCTAACAGGTGCCAAGGATAGGGACCAACATATGTAGCAGTCGGAAGGACAGTGGGGCCGGCAGGGTGGATGGTGGAGGGAGGCTGATCAAATTCCAGGCTCCGTGGGCTGTTCAGAACCAGCGAGGGGTCCAGACAGCAAGCGGGGGACGTGCCGGGCCATGATGGGTGGCCTTAGCCAGGCTCTGAGAGATTGAGAGATTGAGAGAGAAATTGAGAGGCCGGGGAAAAGCACTCCAGGCTCAAAGAGCTGAGCAAACAGATGGAAAATATTCGGTAGTGTTTACTCCCCTCTGATCCCGGGAAAGGACAGGTTGCCACACCACCAACAGGGCGAGGGGAGGGACTCTGACACAACAGCGTCTGGAGCGGGCACCTTTCTCACGCCCAGCTTTGAACGGGCAAAACAGGAGGGCAGGCAAGGAGGACGCAGCTGACTCTGCTTGCCCTGGAATCCTGGTCTTTGGGAAATTTCCAGGTGGCTCAGCCGGGCTAGTCCTGCCCCTTCCGATGCTTCTTCTGGGCAGATTTTGTTCTGTTTCCACTATGTACCTACCCTTGTATCGATATCGGTTGGAAGCTGTCCCATAGCCCGGAACAAGGGGTAAAATGCCATCTATGAAACATTTTAAGGATGTTTTCTGTAAGATTTACTGGCTTATTTTATGATTCTCTTTCCACATCTTTGCCCATTCATCAATATCAATATTACTCGTATACCCAAATTTTTGTGCCCATTTTACCATCGTCTCCTTCACCCTCTCATCCTCCAAGTCATATTCCAATAAGTATGTACACATTTTTTATTATTTTCTCATTAGTGGCAATCCATAATTCATCCACCTGGACTTTCCCCTCAAAAAAGCCCATAATTTTATCCTTTTTATATCTCAATTCTAATTTCAACTTTGACCACCAATCTGTAGCTAGACCCAGTTTCTCTAGATCTTGTTTGTCTTTTATATTCTGATCTTTAGTTAATAAATCTTTATATGTGAGTAACCCTCCCTTCTGATTCAATACAGTGGTGCCTCGCTTAATGAAGATAATCCGTTCCAGGAAAATCGCCGTTAAGCAAAAACATTGTAAAGTGAAATAAAAAGCCCCATTGAAACCCGTTCAATGCATTCCAGTGGGGTAAAAACTCACCGTCCAGCGAAGATCCTCCATACGGCGGCCATTTTCACTGCCTATATAGCGAGGAATACGTCCCTAAACACAGCAGGGAGCCATTTTAATTACCAGGTGGCCATTTTGAAACCGCCGATCAGCTGTTAGAAAAACATCGTTTCGCAAAGAATCAGTTCCCAAAGCAGCGAACCAATCATTGCAAAGCAAAATTCCTCCATTTAGACCATTGTTTTGCGATCGCAATTGCGATCACAAAAAGATCATCATAAAGCGGATTCGTCATAATGCGGGGCAATCGTAACGCGAGGCACCACTGTACTTTCAAAGTAAATGCTTCTTTTGGAGCTACCCATATTGGAATTTTCTTATAAGCTTGGCTAGTCTTTTGTGTGCAGTGTCACTGGCCCTTGTGGCTGGGGAGAGTTCATTCACCTTTTTGCAGGGAGACTGGCGAAACGTTAGGAAGAAAAACCTCCAGAACATGGCCAAACAGCCCGAAAAAGCCACAACAACCATCGGTTCTCAGCCACGAAAGCCTTTGAGAACAAATTACACTCGTTGGCTGAAAAAGGAAGGCAGAGGTATTCCTGTGGATCCTCTTCTGAGCAGCTCTCTGTGATGCTCTCATTGTGTACTCAGTGTCACTGTCTGTGAGCTGTCCAGCCTTAAATGCCTGGGCCAGAATCCTGTTCAGTCCTTCCACTCTGCAATGGAGTATGAGTATGAGTATAAGTGGACCGTTTCTGAGCTTAAGCATGGAGATGCTCCTGGCTGCGTCCTTTAACAAGCTGACAAACCATTCAACTACTTGTCAAACAGACTTTTGTCAGAGCAGAAGGGGCAAACCACGGTTCTTCCATTGGAAGTATCAGGTTTCAGTGACAGATATAGATTTTTATAATTATATTTAAAGTATCACGTACTATTTATTATTGCATCATTACACAAATTCTTTCTACTATATTTTGTACTCTGATTTAACCAATTGCATGTAAGTATTAGAGTAATATAGGAGTGCACTTATGTGGTTTTGCTTCTCCTTTTCCTTTACATCACAGAATATTAGTTGAGATATTAAATATTATTAATCATTTAATTAATCTATAAAACATATTTATTGTATTATTACATTCAAAATGTTAAAAGTATCATATTTAAAGTACATTAAAGCATATTGAATAATATTTATATAAATTTATATATATATAATGATCTGTCTTGAAAGCTGTTATTAAATGAGTAAAGGTATTATTTGACAAATCAGTCTCATCTGTGTTCATTTTTCTAGCACTGACATCTTGTGGTTAAACGTGGTACTGCAACTCAAACCCACATAGGCCCTGTTCCTCAGGGACTGTTCATATTTTTCTTGTACAGAAATGCAGGCTTACACCAAAACTGCAAAGCTCTGCAAGGCATACTAGCACACTTCCATTTCTGAAATATTCTCACATGTGAAACCATCCAATCATTTGGGTTTAAGAAGAGCCACCTCCCCTATAAAAACATTATCTGGACTCAAATGAATGCAGTAATAACTAGAAGCTAACATGGATTTGCCAAGATCAACTTGTGCTAGACTAAACATCTCATTTTTTGATGATGTGACCTCC